ACAATTAGCTGACTTATTAACAAAACCCTTACCTTCTAAACAACACAAATATTTAACTTCTAAATTATATGTATTATATTGTCCTGAATCAGAATGTAATTGGTGTTGTGTAACGAACCGCATTTAGAGGGGGATTTGTCAGATGTAAATGCCTTATTCTCCAATGTGTAAATAATGTATATATGGAACATCAGAGGTTAACTTATTCTTGGACTTTAATGTATTCATAACTTACCACTCCCATTCCTAGCTCCACCCCTTGTATATATAAGGAGCCACCCTCACCATTCTCGTCGCTTCTACCTTGAATATTCAGTGAATATAGAATGCCTATCATAATTAAAAAGAAATATATTTAAAGCTCTAACTCCTATTATTTTTATTGAGTCTGATCCTGAAAATATTGCAACACTGCATTTTCCAAACTCATAGGGGCCCAGCAATATATTTTACTATGTAAAATATAGAACTGCTTCAGGGCTCTGGGGCCCCATAGCATAGAGTTTGGAAATCACTAGATTAAGGTTATTTTGTGATACCAAAGAGAGGCCACATCTAGATACCATAATTCAATGAGTGATTTTGGGCCAATCTTTTTTTAAGCCCAATCCTCTTGGGCAGGGGTGAACTCTACTTACCTTCCCTACCGGTTCAGAAGTGTGCACGCATGTCACGTGCAATTTTGGAGCGCATGCGCTGAGGGTAAAAAACAGTTTACTTCCTGGTAACCTCCAGAAAGTAACGATGTCCGGGCGGGTGGGCAAAGTCTCGTGCTGCTGCTGCTGCTGCTACCGGTTCTCCAAACCATCCACCGCTACCATTTCGCCCGAACCAGTGCGAACCAGTAGCATTTCACCCCTACTCTTGGGTGTTGTTGAGGTGGGATAAATAAAAGATGGGAAACTATGTCTTTTCAAGCACCTTAATAAAAAATGGGATATAGATCTAAATAAATGGAACCCATGAGTTTTTAATCCTTCTGAAGTACTAGAGGGCTATGGGTAAGAAAGTTGAGATATGAGATTTGTTATCTCAGTTGCTGGCTCTTTGGTAATAAAATTGATGATTGTGACATCCAGGGCAGGAATCTCATACAATGTCTTGTAGGCAGGTTAGAATCTGTTGCCTGATATTCCATACTGTCTTTCCTAAGCTGGGAAATATTCACATTCTTACATCTGATACATTTAACACACAGCATGTGTGTATTTCAATGGGGGGGGGGTGACATAAAGGACTCCAAATTCAGTTGTACTAATTGCAAATGATTTAAGTTAAAATCTTCATCCATGAAAGATATGTGATGCCACTATTTTATGAACATGCAAAACCAGTATGTAAACTGCTTAACAGAAAAATAAAGAGCAAAATTAATTACTATTCTATTGGGATTGAATCAGTTGACATATGACTTGGGAGATACCATGAAGCTAGTAAAGAGAATGTTTAACCCTATCACTCTGTTCACCATCCTTTTTATAAATTAGTATATACAAACACAATTGCTTGATTGAAAACACAATGCAAAGCTTTTTTTCATGCATCAGGAAGTAGCACTGAGGGAAAAAACCAGCAGTGTAATTTGGAAAATGGCATGGGAGGAACAGTTAAGGGCTTCTCTACCTCCCATCCTGACGAAATTAAATCACAATCATTGTCAACAGAGTCAATTACAGTATCATCGGTAATGTGGTTTAAGCCTTATTACAGTAGATGTCACAACTGAGGCAGCAGCTTATTCACATTAAAGTCACAAGGGCAGGACTCTGCACAATATGCTAGGCTAAAATATACTTGGGCTATTTTGTGGCAGACATGCCTTATGCATCCTATCCTGAAAGGACTAAAAATACAAGAATTTTAGCAACTTGTGTGACCAGCAATTAAATCTGTGGTTAACAGTAGTTCATACATAGAATAATTGGGACAGAGAAAGAAAGAAATGTGGAGAAATCTGTTTGCGGTCCTGACAATTTACTGTATCCTAGAGAGGACAATTAAAGTCTGGGTATATATGTGGTAAATTTAGAATATTCTCTCCATCCTCGATATGATCATTAATTATTCAGATTCTGGGACAGAAGGCAGATTCAGTCACAAATGCAGAGGGAATGGTGAACAGGGGGAAAAAGAAAACACTTTCTGCAAGTTTCAAGTAGCAAATGGCTCCTATTTTAGTCATTTCAGTACTGAAACTGAGTAATTAGAGGACGAGATGATCCTCTGGCTTTCTTCCAAAATGTACCAATTCATAGTTAACCATAGTTGATTCAGTGTACTGAGTTTGCTCAATTTAATGGCAGATTGAACCAGGGTGGATTTGATTTAAATCAAGTTGATTTAAATCACAATTTAAATCATGATTTAAATCACTAGTAAAAAGGCTTGATTTAAATCAACTCAATTTAAATCATAATTTTTAAAGAGCAACTGTCATCTCTGCTACTCCTTTGACCCACTGTTGACTCACCGATAGTCCCAGTGTTGCAGAATATACAGCCTCATGCTACATAATTAAGCTCCATTTCATGCTGAATAAACTAAATTATTTATGTATCTTAAATAGAAAACTATCTTACGATAGATTTTTACCCCAAAAGTTTTTTATTAAAATTTGATAAAAATCAAAAAAATTTGATTTAAATCAAAAAAATCCGATTTAAATCAAAAAAATCTGATTTTTTTGATTTTTTTAAAAAAAATCATTGATTTTTATCCACCCTGGATTGAACCCTAAAGTATGAAGTATAAAATATATGGACTAAAAAGTATTGAGTTTAATTAGATTTATCCCATTTTTTTCTAGAGGAACGCAAAGCATCTTATACAGGGTTGCCCCTCTATCTTATCCTCACAACAATCCTGTGCTGTAGGTTGGACTAAAAGTCATCTTGGACTAAAAGTTCCCATGGCTGAGCATGAATTTGAAAATGGATCTCAGCATATTAAATGCTGCACAGAATCAATTAACTAGTTGTGGTTGAACATGTTCTGAATAAACCAGTATTTTTAATATTTGTATCCCATTTAAATAAACTTTTCTGAATATCTGCTAAACTGAAAATATATATATTGAGGTTCAAAAATCCAGAAGAGGCTTTTAATTTGCAACAAATCCCAGTGCCTATAAGCAATATAGCCTTCACTTAATTTATAACATTAGCAGTTAATTCCTCAGTTATATGCAAAATTGATAACTGCAAAACAACTGATTACTATGCATCCCATACTGATAATCCAAAAGATTTCTCAGTGCCATCAAGCTAGTGAACTAGTTTAATGTATCTGAATTATACTATGTAAGATTTCTTGCAGTGTATCACACCACAAACTAGTTGGCCACATTTTAGTCCAGCCCACATGGCAATGCAAACCCTGAATGCTAGTTTGATTTCAAAACATGGTTAACCTTGGGGAAATGTGTAGTACAAACAGAATATAAGCTGCCTATTTAAATGTTCCTTCATGCATAAAAATCCCTAGGGAAGGCAGTTTATTAAATAAGCTACAAAGGATTCAGCTATATTTTGAAACATTTTTTCCATTTTTTTTCACTTGTTGATAGTGCAGTTTGACAATCTTTGTAAATGAAAACATATGGAGTATTGTAAACATTGGCTTGTCTTATTATGTTAAGTATGCTGCTCCTTATTTAAAAACCAAATGTACCTTTTAGTTCATGGTTGTTTAACAGCTCATTAAAAAGTCCACCAAACCACATCATACCATACCCTGGTAACTTGTAGAAACCTAACCTAACCTATGTAGTTAGTTTATGGTTCACTAGGTTCTGCAAACACAGATTGTATAAACCATGGTCAAGCAATCAGTAGGTAAATTACCAGGCAAACACAGCCCATCTATTGTGCTCTAGGAATCCATGAAGAGTGTCCATCCATTATTGCACAAGTTCATCATCGAAACATTTAGAATGGAGCCATTATTGTTGATGTTTTTCTGACATGCTCCGATAACCATACCAGTACTTAGCAGCCCATTAAATGTGCTCATATTTACCTGATTCATTTGAAAAAGAAACACTGTACTTTTTTAAAAAAAGACATAGCTTATTAAGGATTTAACATTTAAGTATTGTGTAATTGATGAGGGAAATAGAAAATTATTTGATCAGTGATATATTCAGTGCATATGCCTTTACAATAGAATTCAATTCGAAGACTGAGTTTGTGGCTATGTAAGAGGTTCTTTCCCCACCCCCACCCCATTGGTTTGCAGTGCATATTCTAAGCTTCATCAAAGCTGCCACAATACTTAACAGTTCGCCTACTGACCTATTTCACATCTGCTTGAAAAGAGGTTATATAAAAGATAAAAGGGCCAGATGACACCTTGCAAAGAGACTGACACCAAGAAAAATACTGTTCATAGTGTGCATTTCTGTTCCCAGTTCTCTGCCTGGTTTTTCTTATAGGGTCTTCTGCAATTGGTTATGGGAAACCAGAAAAGGGAAATAAATTTGTTATTTTGGCAATGAATCAAGCTAAGAACATTTAAATTATATATTTTTTCAAAGAATGGAAGATAAGCTTGATGTAATTCCTCAGCTATAAAATCCATTTGGAAACTCTAGAAGTACCCCCGTCAAGGATGTTAAGTCAGGAATTTCACACATTGCAAGGTCACATTGATAGGACAAAATGGTTATAGGACCTTTTAAAACACATTCCTTATAGCTGCATTTCCCCTCTTAATGGGCTTCTCTGAGCACAAGTCCATCTCCCATTCTAGTCTTTTGGCCTTTCACTGAAAATGCTATTAACATTTCTTTAATACATGCCTATTCCTAGAAAGCATGCAAGCATAGAATACATCCAAAGATGCACAAAGAGACGAAGCTTCAGTGGGAGGGGAGCAGGGAAAGGACAAATTTCTGTATTAACAGCTCTGCATATACGAGACCCATCATTGTAAAATGTTTTCCTTTGACAGGACAAAAATATACAGCCAGAAAGTCTAAAATAATGACAATAGGAGCAGGGTTTTAGGGTTCAGTTCCAGCTGATTTTATTTCCTTTGGGGGAAAAGGTTATTTACAGAAAGAATATTGACAATCTGACAGGCAGTGAACTTGGCTTTTATTAGCCAGCTTTCCCCTCCCCTCCCCTCCCCACCCAACATTGTTATTATGGGCAGATCCTTAGACAAAGATATTCCACACAGCATATTGCACAGGATGGATGACCAAAAAACTAAAAAGGAAACCAAAGATTAAAAAACCCTTAACGGAACCTCATCATTAGGCAGATGTCCTCATGCCTGTCATGTTATATTAACATACATAAACACACAATCTTTTTTGCTTATTATTATACAGACTTAAATGTACAAAGATGTTTTCACTTTTTCTCATCTTAAACACAACAGCTATAAACCTGAATACATATGCTATCATCATGCCATAAGAGACTAAAACAATTATACTCAGCGACAAGTATAAGGATTAAATAGTCAAATACAAGAATGAAAAATGCAGTACATAGTGTTGCGAACTCAAATCGGCATTTAGATAGGTCCAGTGATTTAAATGGCATGGTTTTCATTTACTTTGTTTTTGCTTACAAAAAGTGCAAAAGATGTGGTTTTGAAGTTAAAGCTACAGGATCCCTTTTTCCTGAAAAATATTGTTTTCTCTGTACAATGTAACGTTTATTTTGAGGGATTTGTTAGAAATTAGCCCTACAGTGGATTAGAGTTCAATCCCTCTCTCAACTCACAAGTAGAGTTGAATGGTAGATAGAAGAGATACTGTCTCTTTAAGAAGCCTGCAGATTGGAGTGTAAACATGATGAAAGTAGGGACTGATTTTGTGTGAGAGAGATTAACCAGCAGCCCTATTTATAATCAGGAAATCCAAAACAGCAATTTACACCCCTTATATATTTTTTACAAAAATACACTGAGAAAATAATCAAACGTTTTCATCTTCTCTTCTGTTTTTAAAAGTGTCAAAAGTCTACATTTAAATATAAAAATTAAAAGTTAAAACTCTAGCCCTTCAGTGAAGGTGACATAAAAATGGTGTGGGTAACGAACAGAACTACCAAAAAAAGGACAAAGGAATACAAGTAAAAACATTTGGCCAGTATAAATACTTCACTTATAAAATGGCATCCAATTCCATTTAGAAAGAAAAAAAAACATTTCAAGAATGAATCTTGGTGTGAAAAGTCTTCATTTACAGCTACAGAGGAACACACACACACACATACACACACACACTGAGGAAAAATTTGGTCCTGTGTTCTTTTTGAAGTCCAGCACAGATTTGAGTTGCGTTTGAATCCTTTAAAGAGTTAAGAGTGAAAAAAAGCTGGTGATAATTTTTGAAGGAATCAAACATAGCGCCATCTATCTGCTTTTTATATTATTCTAACACTATTCTTTTTAAACTGTTCAACAGTCTTACAAAAAAACCTCCAAAAGATAGGATAACATGCTATATTAAAACCCACCAGAGAAATAATCCAACACCATCACGATTCTGAGTAAGAAAAACACATTTTTGCAAGAAAGAGCAATCGCCCTCAATTTCCCCTGTACCACATTATTAGACAGTTGGTATGTTCTATATCTGTCTGTTTTAAAAAAAAGTTATGTGTTGCTGAAATTCCACATATGATTTCTATGAATATAAAGGTTATGTGTGGCCAAGAAAATCACCACCACCTTCTCCCACATACGTGCAAATCCTTTTCTATTATTATGTTTTCAGCCGAATTTCCAGTTCCTTTTCAAATGCTTCTCTCGCCTTTTCCATTTAGGATTCAGTCCAGTTCCCAGGGCCATCCTCTTTCCCCATCCCTTTTGATGTATATAAAGAGAACCTTTCAAAAATGCAAGCAAATTGACTGCAGCTCTGCAATTCGTTTTGAAGCACAGGAGCTTTCGCCCCTAACCCAAAGACACGCCTAATACACATAGCAGAATCTACCTTTCTCCCTCCCTCCAACCCAACAAGCAAAGATGTGCGAGAATCCCACCCCCTCCTGCTTGTAAGTTGTCATTCCTGTTTAAGCCACTAGATTCTCACCAGAGTCTGAAACGCGCTTCTCGTTCTTCGGCTGCAAAAGGAGGATGAAACGTGAACGAAAAAAAGGGGGTGGGGATCGATTTTAGTCCTGTGTTATTTCTGTGGTAGCTTTCTCGGTGAAGAACGCGTTGAAGAACCTTTTTGCCGCGTTAGCGAAATAAAAACCACGCGCGCACACACCCCTCAAGTCAGTTTCAGCAACGGGGGGGGGGGCGGGGGACCATCCTCAACCGTGGGTGAAATGCTCGCTCTCCAGTTTTGCAGCGCGCCTGGGGGGTTGAGCGCCATGTCCGAGTCTCTTTCCTTCCCCCACGCGCGCCGTTTGCTCGCCTCTTAAATCCTTCGGTCCCCCGCCAACTCAGTACGTAAATACCAAGTTGGAAATGCTGGATTCGAGCCAGTCTCCCGAAATCATCTCACTTACCTCCGGGGTACAATAGTCTGGGAACTCAAAGTGAGAGCCCGAGCCAGGCTCCAAGTTAAAATCCAGATCCCTGTCGAGGACCGAGGAGCTCAGACTCCCCAGCGCCATGCTGTCGAAGCCCGGGCTGGGGTTGAGGTCCAACAGGTCGTCTTCGAACTCGTCGTCGGAAGAGGAGGAAGCGCAGGAGGCGGAGGAGGAAGCCGACGAGGAGTGCGAGGTCGAAGGTGTCGGCGACGGCGCCCGCAGGCTGGTGTAGCTTCGGTGGTCCGAGGGGGAGCAATCGCCCACGGGGGAAGCGGAGGGCTCGCCCCCGTCCTGCCGGCCGCCCACGGCCGCTACTTCGTCGTAGAGGCTCAGCGGGTCGCTGGCTTCTGTGGAAGTGCTGAGGGTCGGACTGGCCGGAACGGCGCCGCCGGGCGACGAGTGGGAGAAGAGGTAGAGCCGCTTGGCCTTCTTCTCGGGGAGATGTCGGCTGCTGTGGCTGCTGCTGCTGCTGCTGCTGGAGGGCGAGGAGGAGCCCGGAGAGGCGGTGCGGGATTTGTAGAGAGAATGGTGCTCCGGGGGCAGGAGGGCAGCCGGCTGTTCCGACGGAAAAGAGGACGGAGCTTTCGTGCCGCCGCCGCCTCCTCCACCGCCGCCGCTCGGGCTGAGTTTGGGATGCGGCTTGCCGGCGCCACTGGGAGAGAGTTTGGCGGCACTGCCCTTTTTCTGGGCAAGCTTGGAAGAGTTGGAAGCAGCAGCGGAGGCGGCGGCTGCTCCCTGATTGCCGCCGCCGCCGCCACTCCCTCCACCCCCGCTCTTCTCACCCGGCTTCCCAGAGTTCGTGCCCGATTTCACCTTCTTCCTGGGTCGGTACTTGTAGTCGGGGTAGTCCGCCATGTGCTTGAGGCGCAGCCGCTCCGCCTCCCGGATGAAAGGGATCTTGTCGCTATCCTTGAGCAGCTTCCACCGCTTGCCCAGGCGCTTGGAGATCTCCGCGTTGTGCATGTCCGGGGACTGTTCCATGATCTTCCTCCGCTCGATCTGAGACCACACCATGAAGGCGTTCATGGGCCGCTTGATGTGCCCGCTGGGCGTCTTGCACCAGCTCGGATCGTCCGCTTTGCCCCCCGTCGAAGCGGTCGAGCCCGGAGTGGGAGAAGAGGCGATGCCCAGCTCGATGCCTGCCCCGGAGTCCGAGCTCTCGCCGGCCAGGAGGGCTTCCGTGTTCTCCGCGTTGTTCGTCTGTTGCACCATTTTGGGGGGTCGGCGCGCGCCGCAGCGGCTGCGGGGAAGTCGGTGGGGCTCAGCTTGGCCACCCGCTTGAAACAAGACCCTCAACTTTGCCGGTCAGTCGGAGCTCTCCAAGCCCCCTTGGCCAGCGCTTCGTCCCCCGTTACTTAAGGCACGACTCCCTCCGGGAAGTAGTTGTAGCTCCACACCGCGTTTGCCTCTCCAACACTTGCGCACGCCTCTCGCTGCAACTTTGCACAGCGAGTTTAAGAGCAGACTCCCGGCTCTAAGTGGAAAGAGTGCCTTTCTTTAAAAAAAAAAAGAAAAAACAAAACAGCCGCCAATCCTAGTTCTCTCTCTCTCTCTTTTCCACCTCTTCCCCCACCCTGGCGTTCACAAGTGGGTGGGTTTTTTTTCCCCCCAGTCTTTCACCTTCTCCTAATACTGTACTCGAGGTGTCTCGGCAGAAGCAGCACGCCCACTACTAAAAAATATTGAAGATACACGCACAAAAACCCACTAAAAATGAAAATGCCCACGTCGCCAAGCGAAACCGGTAATAATAATAATAATAATAAAAAAACTTCGTCCAAGAACTCGTAATTAGAGAGATCGAGAGTTTTTTCTATGATTATTCAGCGGCTGCCAGGGAGTTAGCTGGGGGTAAAAAGCCCCGCTCGTGCAACCGAGTAGCATTAATAACCGGGTGTCTTCCCAATAGGAAAAACAGTGACTGGTGCAGTAAATGTATAGAGTCCCGTCTTGCTCGCCTGTAGATGCACAGCCCCCCCAAAAAGGAAAGAGACATGTACAAACCGGGACTACAGACTTGGCCTCTTCCCCCGCCCCACTACACACACTTTCTCTTGCTGCAGCTTAGAGCGGCGCTCAATTCCGCCTCGTGCGGCTTTATCCTTCCTCAGCTCTTTTCTAAGCCAATCATAGGCTGTATCCAACGCTCCGTCGTGCCAAAACCCCGCCCCTCGGTTCCGATTGGCTTGGAACCCAATAACCGTGTGCAATGAGAAGCTCCAAATCTGACCTCATTCCAATTTACACAAACTTTTTAAAAGGGCCAGAAGTGCAACTGAGATTTCTCTTCCCCCCCCACCTCCAACATAGGCTCCCTATTTTTTACGTTTGCATTTCTCCTCCTACTTCCCTGCGTGTGCGCCTGCGTGTGCATTGGTGGGTGTGTGCGTGTGCGCGCGCGCGAGAGAGACACAGCACGCTAGACGGACCTAATACGAGGAGAGTGACTGAGCTTGTAAAGAGAGCGCGCAACTGCGCGCCTGTGCGAAACTCTCCTCCAGAAAGGGGTGGGGAAGAGACATCTCTGTCCGCTATGTTAGAGGGGGATGGAGAAAGGAGGCGTTCTGTGCCGGGAGCTTCAGCATCTGCCTAGAAGTCAAAGTGACTGCTTGCCTTACCTCGCCAAGGGAAAAAAAAAAAAAGACACGTGCTTTTGTTTAATCTCCTTATTCTGAGACTTCATGAAGAAACGGACCATTCGCCTCCAGTACAATTGGTACCTTCACCCTGCTGTGCAGTATTTCTCTTATATATATTTTTTGCCTGAAGATCCATGCGAGCAGGGCATGTTTTTTTTCCAATTAAAAGATTTTGACTCGTGGTATATCTAATTAATTCTACAAGTCAGTATTTATAGTGTATATAAAATACCTCTACCTGCTTCTTTGCAGTCTGGTTCTTCAAAGGCAGCAGCAGCTTCCTGGCTAGTTCCTCCTGGTCTGCCTGATAAATGTTGTCAATCAGCTGAAGCTCTTAAACCCTCCCACCCCGCCCCCCAGAATGGATTGGGTCGTACAAGGGGCAGTCTTGTATTTCACAAATTACAGTATGGAGAGACGTCCCTTCTCCTGTCCCTTTTGCTCCCTCCCCCATCGTCATCTTGGGGAAAGCAAAAAACCCTGGGGAAAGGTCTGATCCAGCAGACTTGTAAACAGAACAAAGATTGGTTTACAAGGCAAATAAATGCAGTTAGTATCATATACTTCCCTGCGTTTCTCACTGCAGTTCAAGTATGTTACATCTTAACATTCCACTTCCCCTGTAATTCCCTGATCTACATTAATTCCATGTGAATCAAACAGGCTTAGCAGTACCCATTAAATCAATCTGTGTGATGAATTACGTGCTGAAAGACCGTTATCCCTTTCGCCTATTAGTAATGACAGTGACTTAAAACTTGAAGTTTTAACCTCAAAAATGACAAGATGAAACTGACCCTTCAACATGTGTATGTAGGTGTGTATCTAAAATATAAACCCTTTACAGGTTGGTTGATGCTTAGTAAAAGATATATGTAACATATTACCATTTATTTATCATATATACCAGTGATAGCTAACCTTTTTGCCATTGTGTGCCAAAAGTGGGAGGAGCGTGGGGGGGCATGTGCGTGCGTGCCCAGACACATAATTCAATGTGCCCCTCCCCCCGCGCATGACCCCATGTGCTCCCCCCGCTTTTGGCATGTGATGGCATAGTGGGCCCGTTTTTCGCTCCCCCCAGGCTCCAGAGGCTTTCTTGGAGCCTGGGAAGGGTGAAAACGACCTCCCCCCCTCAAGGGCCTCCGGAGGTCAGAAATGGCCTGTTTTCCATCTTCCAGTGGGCCCAGAAGGCTCAAAAATCAGCTGGCCAGTGCATACATGCACGCTTGAGCTGACCTAGGGTAATGCTCGCGTGCCCACAGATATGGCTCCCCGTGCCACCTGTGGCACGCGTGCCAAAGGTTCGCCATCACGGATATATACTGTGTATGGCCACCCAGCACACACAAAAATGACTCTGGGTGGCACTGTGATCAAAAGACACCCAGAGTCATCTTTTGTTCACAATTTTTCATTCCTCAGATTTATATAAATCTGAAGAATGAAAAATTGTGATCAAAAGACAAAGAGGCAAAAGACTACCAGAGACAGAATCTGGCAACCATAACTCTAGCTAAACTGTAAAGTTATGATTGTAAGCCATCTAGAATTGCCTCAACAAGTCTAATAATAGATAAATGAAATAAACTGGAAGAGTAGAATAGGATATCTGACAGAGGAAAACCTGCCCCTCTCTTTATAGTGGTTTGGTCCTCTATAGTCAGAACCCACCTGAATTAAGTGGCATGACAGCAGCTGAAAGTTAGGTCTGCTTGTCCAAAGTCCTCCAATTGCTGGACTGATGAAAAATCTCCCCCTCCCTTTCTTCTCATCCTAAGTAAAGTATTTATAAAGAGAAACAGAAAAGGCAATAAATACTGCTTTTTCCACATGTTTGCTTCACTAGTGGGTCATCCTTGGGCCTATTCCCCTTTGGGATTACTTTATTATAAAACCATTATAGATACGTTGCAGGTAATGACTGGACAGCCCACCAAAAGTTAGTATAGGCTGTCAATAATCTTAACTTCACACTACTAATAAGGATTCCAACTACTATTTATGCCAGTTTAATCAAATATATTACAGCATGGAGCCAGAATATTGAGAAGGCAGAAACTACTAACAAGTCACACACCAGGCAGAAAATAATTTACAGAAATGTTTATTTTTTCATTTCACTGAACATTTTTTTCTGAAACAAATGATGTAAAACAGCAATACATTGTCTGAAAGGAAGCATTGTAAGAGACTGACAGCACCTCATAGTGGTATCACATGTCTCAAAACTCCTTTCTGAAGCCCATCACCCCCACCCAAGAGACCTACCGACTATCAATAGAAATAATTATGAACTGGAGGTACAGGGATCTTTCTTAATAGAAGACTATTGCCTATATTCTGCTCCTAATCAACTGCACCTAAGAAATTAATGTATGTTAAATAGAATTGTTACTGTCTTACAAAACTAATTTGAGCTATCTGTTCAGTCTCATAAAAGTAATCATATTTTTATAAAATTATAATAAAGTAAAAGGATTATAATCAAGGGAATCCCAGGCTGTACCCACATTCAAAGACCTTAATCATGCAATCAGTAAAAATTGTATTCAAATATTAAATTTGTATTAAAGTCATTGAATCAATCTCCAATCAAGTCATTTGTTTATGAGAATAAACAGATAAAGTGCTACTAATTCAGGATTGGTTCAAGTTAGCCAGACTTAAATATAGTTTCATATATTAAAAGCTATTGAGCTCTTAACTTGTTGTACAATATGATATATGAAATAAGTTTGTAGCTGGAATAAAACACTATTTAATTTAAAAAGGAATATTAAAAACAATTAAAATACACTAATAATTACATTTAGACTGGGTATTTTCCTAAATATGTCTGTCATGTTTCTTGCATAGGCTTTAAAAATGTTATCATGCATGCATAAGATACCAACTGAAGTTATCCACTTTCTAAATCTTATTTCTAGATCTAGATAAATCTTCTAACTTTAATCTCATAAAGCTAAAAGATGTATTGATCACTGTCTCCAATGTACCCATCCATAGGACAATTGTAACAAACATATTCATGCCTTCTTTGTTTTTAGACTGGTTTTAACTTCAATCATTATTATCTTTCACTGCTACTTTTGTTGTTGCTACTAGATGTGAAATTTCTACCTGATTTTTTTGTTAAATCCTGGGGCCTTCAAATGAACTGAAAAGGTGGGATTCAGAGCATCCAACTGGAGAGGGTGTGTTAAAATGTTTAGATAGAGGATACGGCAATGCAATCCACACCCCATCCGAGTCAAAACACATGCATGTACAAGGGAATAGACTTTCAATCAGTTGCCATGACTGGCATATATTTTTTTTTACACTTCCCCAGAAATGCCACTGGGAGACCATATAAATGTTTTAACATTTAAATCAGGCTGCAGAACTTAACAATAGCACTTCAGTTTCTTGCTTTTTATTTATAGAAATAGAATACTGTATACAAAATCATTTGCCTACATTTGGTTATAATGTAATCATACAAAAAATAAGATCAAACAAAATCTTCAGACCAAAATGTTTTCGAAGGAAAGTCTACCAGAATTCCCAGGTTTTTGGGGAAATGTTTTTGAAGGAAAATCTACCAGAATTCCCTGGTGAACTATACTGATTTAAACCAAGGAATCAATTCAATGTCTTATTTGTTTATTTGCTTATTTAATACATTTATATGGCTGTCTATCTCCTATGCATGACTCTGTGCAGTTAACATGTATGCTGACACCCACTCCTTCTCCCTTCTATGCAATGTCCCTAGACTTCCCACATCTTCTCTAGGGTCTCTGAAATTCCACAGCAGATGGGAAGATGGGTAGATATTTCCCCCACCAGAAGCATTGATTCTGCTCTGGATAAATATACTTAGAAATATCCTCAAATATTCCAGTAATACAAAATGACAGTAATTTTACTGGCACCATTGCTTTCAAAGTACCCAGTCCTAAATCCATTTACATTAAAATCCCATTTGTGTAAATGATATTAATTTCTAAGAAAGTGCATTTAGGAATTCTGCCTAAGTGCTTACTAAGCCCACTGGAATAAAAAGCCTGCAAAGATGCAAATCAACTACTAAATTTCTTATACTACACATATAGCGATAATTTCACTGTGAATACATCCAACACCTAAATCCAAGCATATATTTTCTTTATGTACTGCCTCTTTCACAAACATCATTCAATAAATGGAAATAAGTATAACTGAACAGTCAATAATAGTTAGTAATGAATACATCCTAGCACTCTAACCATATGTTCGTAAGGTTTAATTCCAGCCTCATTTTTTTTCCTCCAGTCCTGTCTAGTTTATTATTCTAGAAAATTACATTTTGAAGTAGATTGACCCATTGTACTCACCATTAATTGAAGACACTGCTGTGCTGTGGGGTCATTTACACGTTCACTAAACCATACACTACGTTTATGCCACAAT